TTCACTGATAGTATCTGATGTGTGCAGTGACTATTTGACTCTCAACTAAAACTCATTTTTCTTCTTAATCTAAAGACTAAAATGAATAATTTCTTGACCTATAACCTGCTTTAACCTTAAGCATGTATACAAAATTGCTATCTAGTAAGTAACCAGTACTTTGTTTTAGTTTCTCTGTTTTTCTTGTGTATGTGTGCATACTGTAGCGCCAGAGAACAAGCTAGACATTTCAAGCACTTTGGGGTTTTTGTGGTCATCGATGGTGGTGGTAGTGGTGGTGGTTTGTATTCTTTTCTTTGGTGGGACAGAGTCTCTCCCTGGCCTGGATCTTGTCAGGTAGGCTGAGCTGCCTGGCCAGGAAGCTCCAAGGATCCACATATACAGCCCAGTGCTAGCACAGGCCACCTCCCCTAGCTGTTTTACATGGATTCTTGAGATCAGGTCTTCATGCCTGTGCACCAGCATTTTACCAACTGAGCCATTACCCCAGCTTTCTGTCAGTGTTTATTAAATCTTGCTTTTTATAGATATAGTGTTTGCTTTTTTATACCTAACATTTTAAATTTCTGCGGTCCATTAGCTGACTACATGACAGAAAAACAGTTGTAAACATGTATTTAATATTGGCATGTTTATATTGTCCTCTGGACAATGAAACCCTAGTTTGTTTAAAAATCTCAAGCAATGAGCTGTATGTTGTGGCTAATGGCTATAATGATAAGGCTGAGACAGGAGGATCCAAAAGTTCAAGACCAGCCTAAGTTACATGGCAAGTTACGGATCATCTTGGGCTAAAGTGTAAAACCTTCTCTCAAAATTCCAAAAATAAAAATAAAGGTTCCAGGAATGAGTGTCTCGTTATATATGTAATTCTGCTTCCTCTATGTTTCAAAAATCTGCAATCATGAACCAGGTGTGGTGGCACATACCCATAATCACAGTCCAGAGGGCTGAGGCTGGAGCATCTAAAATTTGAGGTGGGGTGGAGGTTCACAGCAAAATCCTATCACTAAAAACCAAAACAGAAAAGATAGAATCCTAGCTATGGGGTTGGCAAGGTGGCTCAGTGATTAAGAGCACTGGCTGTTCTTGCAGAAGACCCATGTTTGAATCCCATCACCTACATGGTGGCTAACAACCGTCTGTAACTCCAGTTCCAGGGGACACAACACCCTCATGTCTTCTGCACAACACGGGTGCACTTAACATTCAGGCATAATACAAATACACATAAAATAAAAATAAATAAATTTTAAAAGAATCTTAGCTATTTAATTTTAGAAGAACTGGCTTTTGTCTATCTCTCTTTGGGCACCTGTTTCTTTTCAGGTCATATTTAATAATTTGGGATTTTTTTTTCTAGTTAAAAATAAGAATGAAGATTGAAAACACTAGCCACTTCAACCCCATGTCTCTAGCTGGTTAACACTATTTGGAATAGAAACCTACCTTGAGAGTTCCATACACTATTTAATAGACAAAGCTTTACCTCTGATCCCAAGTTTATAAATAATAACTATTTGGGAGAATATGTTTTGAACAGACTGAAGTCTTTTATATATAATCCTTGTGTGTCTGTGATACATAGTCTTTCATGTACAAGTTACCTTCACCAGGCACCGTCCACCTTTTCCATATAATGGAAATAAGAATTCTAACCTTATATATAGTGATAGTTATATATGTATAATTTGTACTTACTGTTTAGCGTAATACCTCAGCAAACACTAGCTATGAAGTCAGAAAGTTTAAAGTTAGCATTTGTTGACTATTTCAAAAGCCAGCTACTTAATACTGCAGGTTATTTAATGGTCTGAGTTCATGAAGTTGACATCCTTGAATCAGTGCAGGCTGCTTGAGGGCTGTGGTGAGATGTTAATGCTTTCATTTTCCAAAGCACTTTGGGGTATTTTGTATGCCAGAACCTTTTTCAAATACAGAGGTTACAGAAGTGAATAGGGACATCATGTACTTTAGAACGAAGTGTTAGAAGCAAACCAATTTAGTTCATGATAAATACAGATACCACAAGGGACAAGGGCTGACCTCATTTCTTTTTTGGCAAAGGTGATACTTAAGCTGAGACCAGGATGAGAAATGTATTAATGTGACATAATGCTGTAGCTAGCTACTAATTATGTGGTACATTTTTACATATACTAGGGAGCAGCACTGGTATTGTGAATTCACCATGTAGATCTACAGTCTTTAAAGTTGTATGTTTATTTAAATAAATGCTCTTAATGGGATATAGAGAAATAGCCTTTGAGATTTCTTTTAGAATAAAATTTAAATGTATATTGTTTTTAGTGTTACATTTTCATTACCATCTTGAGAAACAACAGAAAAATGGTTATTCTTTTCATTAGAATATCCTACATAAACTAGACTGATTTTTAAAAATTATTTAATAACCATATAATTAGAAGAGGCATTTCATTACAACAGCATTGACATATTCAATAACAATTTCCAGAGCTAAGATGTTTCTCTTTCAAAATTGGCTGTAAGTTTTTAGGTTTACAGTTGAATTAATATATAAACTAGACTGATTTTAAAATTCACTTTCACTTTTTCTAGTTTTCCCTGACTTATCTGTTTTACTGTATGAGTATATATAATTCATTTGATACTTGAAATAAATATGTAAGTTTTTTTCCTTGATGAGTTAGCCAATTGTCTTAGTCTTGGAACAGTCCTGTTCCTTTTTATTTTCTCACTGCAGCCTAATGATCTTTTTTCAAACTATCTGTTAATAGCTGTATATAAGGCAGTTTACCAGTTATGGACATGGGTATGTTGTACCATGTAGCATGCCTTTAGTTTATTTTCATTAATCTGTTTTTCCAGATAAACTTTAGACACTGTCATGTTCCAAAAACCTTTCTGTTTTAGGGGGTGTGGAGGGGGACAGGGCCTCACTATGGAGCTCTGGCTGGCCTGGAACTTACTATGTAAACCAGGGTGGTCTGGAACTCACAGAGATTTCCCTGCCTCTGCCTCCTCTGTATTGGGATTAAAGGCATGTGCCACCACACCTGGCCCCCCAAACCCTATTTTTATTGTAGCTATATAAGCATAAGCCTGTATGCTAACTAATATTTTCATAGTGTCTACACAGAATTAATATAACTTAAAGTGGTACTTGAGAGTTTCCAGGGATCGGTGATTATACTTGAGAAAGCTCAGAAAGATCCTTTTAGTATAAAATTGTTATTTCATAATCAAAATGGTACATCTAAAGTTGTAACCCTGCCAGACTAGTATTGGTAAAAATTTTATTGATACTATTTTAAATTACTACAGATATTCTTAAACCTTATGGTCCTAATGTGTCTTAACCTTTAAAATTCTTTTCCAGTTTTTCTGTAATGATATATGCATTCATTTTTATAATGTACAAATTGCAAATAAAATAAAAATTATTCTTTTTTCATAAAACTTTACTGTACATTTTAATGACTTGGCTGTGAGATAATCTTTGAATTATTAATATTATACCATTATATTTTATATTACCGTGAAATTGCTGAATACTGCATACTCAACTTGAGAATATTAGCCCAAAGCAGTTTTAATCTCTTTTACTTTCTTAATTTGCAGTGATGCGATTGACTAAGCCTACCTTGTTCACCAATATTCCAGTAACCTGTGAAGAGAAAGACTTACCTGGTATGTAAGAAAAAGTTGAAACTTGATTGTCTACATTACTGAAGAAGCTTAGCCTTGCCAGTCTTACCCTGAGTTCTTTGATGCCTGTATTTAAACCCTGCAAATGGTGATCATCTGAGTGATAAGGCTCATTTTGGTCTGCAAGTCAAGGTGTTATCCTTATACACTCATATTCTCTTACTGCAGGAGATCTCTTTAACCAGTTAATGAGAGATGATCCTTCAACTGTAAATGGTGCAGAAATTTTAATGCTGGGAGAAATGTTGACTCTGCCCCAAAATTTTGGGTAAGAATGATTCATTTATATAGGATGTGCAGCAATATCTTAGAGCTACTATAAATCATGTCCTACAGAGTGGGAAAGTGCTATTCTTATATTAAGTAGTAAAAATTTATACCAACTGTTATGATTCTATTTTTATTTTTTAATGAACTACATAACAAGATAAAATGACAATAGTGATTTTCCTTAGGATGATAGCCTTGTAACTGTTTTGTGCTGTGGTTCCAATCATGGGTGTCACAAGTGTGATGCATATGCTCTACCACTGCACTATTAATACATTCCCAGCCCCTAGATCTTATACTTTTCAGTGACTGTGTATTAATGGTCACATTAATTAATTTGAACTAATTTGAGTCTTTTCTGTATAGACGTCATCAGACTTTTCAGCTAATTCTTCTCTTGTCCTAGATTATTAATGGGGTAATGGTATCCTGTTTTCACTGTTTCTGCAACTGAGAAAATTTGAAACAAAAAAGAATTTTTCACTTTTTTTAAGCTTATATGGTATGATCTTAGACTACTGTCTTCCAAGCTTGAAAATGTTTTCATGTAAAAAGTATTAAAACTATATAGAGTATAGTCATTTTATTAGCTAATTGAGAAAATGATAAAGTGCTCCAAGATAGATTAGCATAGACTGTCTAGATTTAGAGTATAAGTTATTTTAAAAATGAGAACCTTACATTTTCTAGTGTATTCAAAATCTTAAGACTGCGTAGCTTTGGGGGCTGGAGAGATGGCTCAGTGGTTAAGAGCATTGGCTGCTCTTCCAGAGAATCCAGGTTAGGTCCCCAACACCCACATGATTGCTAATAGCCACCTAAAATTCTAGTTCTAGGAGATCTGATGCTCTTTTCTGGCCTGTGCAGGCATTGCATGCATGTGGCACACTTACATACATGCAGGCAAAACACTCATACACATAAAATAAATAAATATATACATACATACATAAAATTTTTTTTAAAGCTAATATAGCTTTCATTACAGTGACTGTTATTTCCAGAAATGCCAGAAATTTGTGCGGCAGTTGACAGATGGGTTACATCATGTTTATTTACATTTCCACTTTGAAATGCAGTAGCTGACAAATGGATAGCAGAATTTATATCGAGGACTGCTAAAGAAGTATTTCCTTGAAGTATTTCTTCCGTTTGAGGTCCTTACCAGTACTTGAAAAGAGTATTTTCGATAGGACCTGAATCAGTTTCTTCCTAAAATATTTTATTTCATAGGAATATATTTTTGGGAGAGACCTTTTCCAGTTATATCAGCGTTCATAATGATAGCAATCAAGTTGTAAAAGATATACTGGTAAAGGTAAGTGGATTTCTTATTTGGAAAGCTTTTAATTTTTATTTTAAAAGTTTTATTTCTGTTATGCTTTGGAAACTTTTTAAAATGGATATTTGAGACTGGAATTTTTAATTGCCATTAACAAGCACTGATGGATGTCTAAAGGAACAAAATACTGTGATAGGCACAGAAACATTTTCCTTCTACTGTTTTGTGAATGCTTGATAAGAAAATGACTGTTCAACTAAGAAGGGGTTTTAGTGTTTGTTAATGCATATTAGCAGATTTGAAAGAGTTAAGAGAAAACATCCCTGGGGCTCACTACCTAATTACAGGAAGGTATATTAGAGGGAAGACCAGATCTTTGAAGAATGGGAAGATATGAGATATGGAAAGATGTACAGAACAAAGGGGAAACACAGATGCCTAGTGTATTCTTTGAGAGGTGGAAAAAAAATTGACTTTGTAAGTCAGGTGGTAGATATGTTCAGCACAATCCTATTTAAGAGTCTATAAAGCTAGACTAAGATTTTTACCTTTTTTGTTGTTTAGTTTAGTTTAGTTTAGTTTAGTTTTGACCTGGAACTCACTATGTGGACCAGGCAGGCCGCAAATGCAAAGATTTGCCTGCCTCTGCCTCCCAAGTACAGGAATTAAAGGTGTGAGCCACCACCCTGGTGGTTTTAACCTTTTTTCAAAACTATTTTCTTAGCCGGGGGTTGTGGCACATGCCTTTAATCCCAGTATTTGGAAGGCAAAGGCAAGCAGATCTCTGTGAGGTAAAACTATCACTACCTACTGCAAAATTATACGGATTAAATGAGTATGTGCTTGGCGTTGAGATTTTCACGTGACACCTGCCCAATAAATGTGAGTTATTACTATTTGGTAAATGATCAGCATTAAGAAAGTTGGGTTCGATTTTTTTTTTTTTTTTTTTTTTTTTTGGGTCTCCCTGTAGCCCCAGCTGGCCTGAACTCGCTATATAGACCAGGCTCGCCTTGAACTCACAGAGATCCACCTGCCTCTGCCTCCCAAGTGCTGGGATTAAAGGCATGTGCCACCATGTTCAGATCAGCTGCTGTTTAAGACAAATGTTCAAAAGGCAGTAAACAGAGGAAACAGAATAGAGTAACTTAGAGGAAAACACTGCATTAGGGAAGGTGGAGCTTTTTTAGTTGATGACTTCATGTCATTTTTTTTTACTCTGTAATTAAACTGCCCTGTAACACCTAATAATATCTTTGATTATTTTTCAGTGTTACAGATTCAAACATTTCTAAACATCTACCTATGTTTATTTCAGTAAAGTCCATCTATTATATATGTATGTATGTATGTTTAAAAATTATGTGTTGAGGCCGGGCATGGTGGCGCACACCTTTAATCCCAGCACTCGGGAGGCAGAGGCAGGCAGATCTCTGTGAGTTCAAGGCTAGCCTGGTCTACATAGTGAGTTCCAGGTCAGCTGGTGCTACAGGGAGACCCTGTCTCAAAAAGACCAAAAAAAAAAAATTATGTGTTGAAGCTGGGCACAAGGGTTCATGCCTGTAGTCCCAGCCCTGGTGAGGTGGAAGCAGGAGGATCAAGAGTTCAAAATCATCCTCAGCTGCACAGGGAGTTTGAGGCCAACCTGGGCTGTGTGTGACCCTATCTCAAAGGGGGGAAAAGGGAGAAAAACTTATGTGTTCATGCAGTTCATGTTCTAGTCTAGCATGAAAGGTGGCGTTGTGTCCCATTTTCTTGTTTATACCTTTTGTTCTCCACAGGCAAAAACTTCTCTTCTTATCCATAAAAATTTTGTGTTTAATCATGGTGTATATACAAATTGTTTTGAAATTATTAACCCATAGCTCTATGAAGACAAATGCTGAATATATTTTGCTTGTTTTTTGCTTTGTTTTTTGTTTGGTTTTGTTTTGTTGTTTTGGTCTTTTGACTTAGACAGTGGTCATGATTCTGTTTTGCAGACTCAGGTCTGTCTGTTCCTTCTCTTCCTCCTACTGCTGTCTGTATCCTTCATTTGTAATAGTTAGGTTCATATGTTACTATTTATATTGGTTTCGGATTCTCCCTGCTTCCTGTTTATTTCATTTATCACCCACATTGGGTGTGTGTGTGTCTCTGTGTGTGTGTGTGTGTGTGTGTGTGTGTGTGTGTGTGTGTCTAGCATCTCCAGGGTTCTGAATATGAAAGTTGTACAGAGAAGTTTACACAGAATAGTAGTACTCTCCTGTTCGCCCTACTTCCTCCCTTGTTTTTTTCAATTTCCTTATTAGCATAAGTTAATTGTATAATACATTTTATTGTGATATTTTCATATATACGTATAACAGGCTAATACACACACACATGCACGCACACACACACCTTTAACCTCTCATCATCCCCTTTCCCTCCTCCCCTCTCTCCCTGGTCCTGTTCCTCTTCCCAAATAACCAGCTATGACCAAGATTCTTTCCACCCATGTGCATCTGTACTCTGTATATATCTAACCAGCCTCATGTGGGTTTTTTAAACTCTTTCTTCCAAGGCTGATCTTCAGACAAGTTCTCAGCGTTTAAATCTTTCCGCCTCCAGTGCTGCTGTAGCTGAACTTAAACCTGATTGTTGTATTGATGATGTTATACACCATGAAGTAAAGGAAATTGGAACACACATGTAAGGATTAATGTTACTTCTTCTCCAAGACTTTTGCTCATGCTTTTATTTAGTTTCCTTATTTTTCTACTTTTATTTTTCTTTCCTTTTGTGAGGTTTTTTTTTGGTTTTTTTTTTAATTTTTTTGGTCTTTTTGAGATGAGGTCCCCCTGTAGCCCCACCTGTCCTGGAACTCACTATGTAGACCAGGCTGGCCTTGAACTCACAGAGATCTGCCTGCCTCTGCCTCCCAAGTACTGGGACTACAGGCATGCACCACCACACCCAGCTGAGTTTTTAAATTTTTAAAAATATTTTATCATTTTTATTTTATGTGTATGAGTATATTGCTTCCGTGTATGTAAGAAGATGGCATCAGATCCCCTAGAACTGGAGTTACAGATGGTTGTTAGCCACCAGGTGGATGCTGGGAATTGAACCTAGGTCCTCTGCAACAGCAGTCAGTGCTCTTAACCACTGAGCCATGTCTCCAGCCCCTATTTTTGTGAATTTTAAAGTTCTGTATTTACCTGATATTCTACTCCTGTACAACTTAGAAATACAGAGCCAAAAAAAAAAGAAAAAACAAGCTATGAAAAAGTCTCAAACTCTACATTTGAATGTGAATGCTCTACTTTTCATCTGGAAAACAAATGAACCCTACAGTGCTCTGAAGTTACTTAGGCTTCTCGGGCTCCCTTGGCACCTGACAGCCCATCGCTTCAGAGAGCCTGCCAGCTCTTCAGGGTAGTTCTCATCTTCTCTCTGTGTCCATCATCCCTTTTTGCTTCTCTCCACTATATCCATTAAAGCATGTAATTAGACTAATGTATTAAATATAAGTTTGTAGCCAACTATTTGCTTAGACAATGTTGGTGACCGACTCTGTTGACAGTCCTTTTTTACTGTCTATTTTGTAATTGATATGCGCTTTGGATCAAATTTTCTAGAGGTCAAATTTCTGAGGCACCATTTATTAATCCATCACCTTTTCAAATATCTCCTCTTGGCTTTTGGAAATTCTGACTCTGTATATGTTTTCAAAGCTGTCTACAGCGTGATCCACCAACTTTATGTCGTTCTTCCTTCCCTTTCTGCACTGTAGTCATCTGAACTTCTTTTAACTCCAAACCCACTCTGGTGTAAAATGTATTTCCTTACAAAGAACTGCTTATAGAATCTTAGCTAATTTACATCTAACTTTTTTCATGTCTCAGAAATAGCATGGCTTCCTCAGAGAGACTTTCCTAACCTTTGTATATAACATCCACAACTTGCCATTTTTGTATCTTTTGTGCTTATAGCTACTTCTGCGTGCGGCCTCCTCAGTTTAAATATGAGGTCCATGTAGCCTTGTGTATCCCTTGGATCTTCCAGAGGACAGTGGTTAACATTCATTGAAATTAAGTTTACTGAATAATAGCAGATGTGTAAAATCATTCTGTAGGAAATGAGACTTAGAGAAGTGAACAGCTATTTTAGAAGACATGAAACTCAAACCTCATTTCAAAACCTGTACCTGCTATAATACTTTCTACCACAAACACTTCCAGGGCAAATATTAGGACGGGATTAGTTTTACTTTGGTATTGTTTTTGTTTTTTTGAGACAGGGTCTCACTCTTTGGCCAAATTGCCCTTAAACTTGATATATAACCCAGGCTAGCCTCCAACTTGTGATCCTCCTGCCTCAGCTTCCCCTAGTACTAGCATTACAGGCATGTGTCACCACACCCAGCTTTGGTATTGTGTTTTTGTCTACTTGCTGTATAGCTCCTGTCTTCAGTATAAGGCATAGCATAAAGGACAAATTAAATTAACATTAGGTAATGTTAGCACATTACCATAATGTAGAGTTACTAAAAGATTACTATATTTTCCAATTACTTTATATGTATATGTATAACAAATATTTATGAATAATAGATATTACTTATGATTTTATCCTTTTCAATTCAGTGAATGTTTTTCCACATCAGCTGGTTTCCTTGAAAACATGATTTTCTAAATGGCCGCCTCGCACACATTTGCTTTGCTTACCCTAATGTTGGATGTTTACAGTATATTTTCAGTTTTGCACTATTATAAACAACATAGTATTGAGTAGTTCAATACTGCATTATGATAACTTGAAGTAGATAGTCAACATTTTAAATTCTTTTGATTAATTTTTATACATAAGAATGTTTTGCCAACATTTATGTAAGTGCACCATGTGCCTGCAGTGCCTACAGAAACCAGAAGAGGGTATCAGATTCCCTAGAACTGGAGATACAGCTGTAAGCTGTCAGCTGGGTGCTGAGAACTGAATCCAGGTCCTCTGCAAGAACAGCAAGTGTTCTTAACTTCTAAGCCATCTCTCCAGCCCTTACATAAACATTTTTAAAATATTTATTATTTTTGTTTTATGTGTATGAGTGTTATACCTGCATGTATGTAAATGCGCCCATGTTGTGCAGTGCCCACAGAGGTTAGAAGAGAGTGTCAAATCCCCTGGAACTGGAGTTATGGATGGTTGTTAGCCACCACGTGGGTGTTGGGAACCAAACCCAAGTCCACTGCAAGAGCAGCCAGTGCTCTTAATGCTGAGCCACCTCTCCAGCCCCTATGTCACCATTATTAAGACTCTTTACCAAAAGATTGTTTTCAAAATTTCTTACAACATCTAGAAATTTAAAGAGAATAAGTTTTTCTAAACCATCACCAACCTTGTCATTACATAAGGGATCCTTGCCAAATATTTACAGATTGAAAATGTTTTCTCTTTATTTTAATTTGTTTCTTTCACTATTTGTATGGCTTAACACTTTCATTTTTCATGAGCCAGTTACAGGACTGTAATTATCTGGGTATTTCTTTCATAATACATCTATGTATTCCTTTCCTCATATTGAGTAAAACATTGATAATTTGCTGAATGACCCAGAGGAACTTTGTATATTAACAATGTAACCATCTTCTTGTGTTAAAGTATTTTATCCCAGTTTGTTATCTGCTTTTAATTGTTTCACTGTTTTCGATTAAAACTTTTTTTTTTTTTTTTTGTCTTTTTGAGACAGGGTCTCCCTGTAGCCCCAGCTGTCCTGGAACTCACCATGTAGACCACGCTGGTCTTGAACTCACAGAGATCCGCTTGCCTTTGCTTCCCAAGTGCTGAGATTAAAGGCGCCCAGCACTTGATTAAAACTTTTACACAATTTCCCATTGTATTAGGTTAAGTCTATCCTGGAATTTCTTTTAAAATATTTTATTTATTATTTTTATTTTATGTGTATGCATGTATTGCCTGCATATATGTAAGTGCACCCGTGTTGTGCAATGCCTGCAGAGGACAGAAGAGACTGTCAGATTCCCTGGAACTGGAGTTACAGACAGTTGTTAGCTGTCATGTAGGTGCTGGAATTCGAACCCAGGTCTTCTGCAAGAACAGTCAGTGTTCTTATCCACTGAGCCATCTCTCCAGCCCCCTGGAATTTCTTTTAAAATCTATATTTTTCTCTTTATTTTATTTTTTAAATTTTATTTACTATTTATGTGTACGAGTGTCTTATCTGCATGTGTGTAAGTGCACCCAGGTCATGGAATGCCAGTGGAGACCAGAAGAGGGCATCAGATCCCCTGAAACTGGAGTTATAGACAGTTGTGAGCTGCCACGTGGGTGCTGGTAACTGAACCCATGTCCTCTATAAGAGCAGTCAGTTCTCTTAACTGCTGAAGCATCTCTCCAGCCCTGAAGAGATGCATATTTTCCCAGTGCATATGAACTTATTTTTTCCTTCATCTATATAGTTATTCTGGGATTTATTTTGGAATATATTTGAAGGAAAAATTCTAAGTTCCTGCTCCAAAAGAGCTAGATCTCATTTTCTGAATAAGAACTTTCTGTTCATATATTATATACACCCATATCTCCTTCGAACTTTTCCCCCATTGTAATCTCATTTGACCACAGCTTTACATTTTTGGTGTAAATGGCTTTTTACACTTATAAGTAAAATTGAAGTTTATTAGATTTATTATTAAGAAGTGAAATGAAAAATTACTTCAAATTGTTGACATCTTTCTGTTTCAGCTTGGTGTGTGCTGTGAGTTACACAACTCAGGGTGGAGAAAAAATGTACTTTAGAAAATTCTTCAAATTTCAGGTATTGAATATGGCAGTGATCAAACAATTTTATATGGCTTTTTTTCCTAGAAGTATAATTATTCCTGTTTTTCTGTGGTGGAAAACCAGGTCCAAATAAATCAAATATCTCACTGCCTGGATTCTTCTTATTCCTAGCTAGTTTAAGTCAGATTAAGTAGAAATTATCAGTGCTAATGTAATGCTTTAAAGATAGGCTCTCCTAGTAGCCCCAGCTGACTCGGAAGACTGGCTGTGCAGACCAGGCTGTCCTTCTGAAATATCTGCTGAGATTAAAGGCATGTGCCACCACACCCGGCTAGCATTTTATTTAAGAAAAAACAAAAACAAAAACAAAAGCTTTTTCTAATTGGTGAAACGAAACATAAAAATGTTTTTTAAAAAAAAGATAATATGAGTATCGAGTCCAAATGAAAAAGTATAAATAGTATTAAATGTTCAAAGAATTTTGGGGGGTGTGTTGGTTTTTTTGTTTTGTAGGTTTGTTTAGTTTGGTTTCTTTTTGTTTTTTGAGATGGGGTCTTAACTACATAACCTAGCTGTCCTGGAACTGGATATGTAGACCAGGCTGGCTTCAACTAACAGAGATGTGCCTACCTCTGACTCCCATGTGCTGAGATTAAAAGGGTGCACCACCACTCCTGGTCTCAAAGAATTATTTAAGTGAAAGATTATTGATTTTTTTTTGCAAGAATATTATATGCACACTAAAAAGTCTTTAACAATGAAAATTAGAAATGGCTTTGATAAATTAATGCCTTGTGATTTAAAACAAATAAAAATGGTCAAATAAAAAAATTTCCTGATTAATATGCTTTGTTTTAACTAGGTTCTCAAACCACTGGATGTGAAAACAAAATTTTACAACGCAGAGGTAAGTGTTAGGCACTAAGTAGGATTTCAAACTAAACATTTAAATCTTATCTGACTAAAAATCCAAGGTATGAGATTTTTCTATCATGGCTGAATTATTTGTGAAAATGAACCTAAATTCCAGTTAAAAATCAATGATTTCATTGTAAGTCTCTTTTAACCTGCTGGTTTCAACCTAAGTATAATCATTGTGTATTGATTTCTATTCTCATTTTTTGTAAGACCTTCACCCCTATTGTTAATGACTACCCTTTAATCCTATTCAATGATATTAATATTACTGCTTTAAAACACTACCAATCTGTTGACTATTTACAGTGTATTTCTGGATGTTATACAAATTGACGTGGTAGATCTAGAGGAAGAATCAATAGAGAAGGAGTGACAGGTGAAACTCAGCATAGCAAGCTCTTCACTGAGAAGTGAGTGTACCAGCTCCAGTCAGGTTCCTATAGGTTGAAAAGCTTGTTGGGAGAAGCTGGTTTGGGTGGGAAAAAAGTAACTTTAAGAATAGGACACAATCTGTCTTCTGGCCTAATGAAAGAGATAAGTAGAACTGGCCAGAAGAGAAAGGATTTATTGTTTGGGTTTTCCCCCACTTCTATTTTATCTTGGCTTCCAGAGCTGTAGAAAAATGGTATCTCAGCTAGGCATAGTGGCACTTGCCTATAATCACTTACTTGGGAAGCTGAGCCAGGAGCATGGTGAATTCAAGACCAACTTATGCTGCACAGTGAGTTGGAAGTCACCCTGAGCTACAGTGAGACTCTGCCTCACAGCCTTTTTACCCTCAAAATCACTATTGTAAATTCAGAATTACCCAAATGCAGTATTTTGTTATTTAGATTTTGTCTAAAATCAGATGATCAGAAATTTGCAGTCATACCATATTTGATAGATAATTCACCATCAGCACACTAAGGTTTTACTAGTATGTTGCTCGTATTGTAGCTAGAATTCCTTAGCTGTCACAGTTAAGAACCTAGTCTGTACCACACAAAACTCTCTAGACTAGTACATAGTGGATCTAAAATAAAAAGGATAGGAACACATGTGCTGCATCTTGGGATAAGAACTTGGAATAGTCTGCAAAATCTTTAGAGAAGTAACTGGAACAGAGCCTGGAAGGAGTGGATGGAAGGAATAGACTCATATCAGTGTAGCAAAGGCTCCCAAGCAGAACCACACTGTAATTCCAGTAGTTAGAATATTAAGTAGCTAGTAGAGAGGCTCCACACACACTGTGGGAAGATACAGACTCATCAAGTTGATTACTAGATGTTTAAAGTGTTCCTCTTTGGGAGATAGTTAAGTTGGGATAAAACATATTTCTTCTAACTTTTTTTAATTAGTAACATAATAAATTCTGATAAGCTATTCAGTTTGATGGGTTTTAAATAGTCTTGTCATTTTCTGGGAAAAATTTAATTACTAGGCTGGGGAAGAATGTTAATGTTTCTACCAAAATATGTAAGAAATTTATAAAACTGGGGCTGGCAAGATGGCTCAGAGCTTAAGAGCCCTGGCTGCTCTTGCAAAGGACCTGGGTTTGGTTCCCAGCACCCATACGGTGGCTAACCGTCCATAACTCCCAGTTCCAAGGAAATTCACTGCTCTCTCTGACCTCTGTGGGCACTGCACAGTATGGGTGCACTTATATACATGCAGGCAATACACTACTCATACACAAAAAATAAGAATAAAATAATAAAACATTTAAAAAAAATATAAAACGACTAAGATTATATGAGAGTAAGGTATTTTTGTTGATAGTGGTGGTGGTTTGCATTTTTTGTTTGTTTTTCTGTAATTGGCTCCTAGAAGGACTATACTAAATACCTAGTAAGTCTTCCTAGCTAAAAATGATAGTAATAAATTAAAATATTTATTGATTGGTTTTATAACACTAATAGCTGACGTGATTTGGAAATGGTCATTTAGCTAGTTATTTCTGTACATGTCATAGGAGTGGCATGTTCCTATGAGAAAAGAAAAAAAATCACATTTCCACCATACATAATTGACTTTTCCATTAATCTGCATTGTTTTTCAGCCTTTATGCATTTATGTAATATTCTGTTTTAATAATCATAGTGACAGTTTTGTGTGCTACCTTTTTCATTTAACATTATATGCAAATATGTTTAAATGTTTCCCACAAACTGCAACTTAAAATGTTTATTTAAATTCTGAACTTTGGAAATTAGGTATCTCTTTAAAAACCAAGAATAGGCTGATGTGGTGGTGCTTGCCTTAATCCCACCACAGGGAGGCAGAAGAAGGGGGATGTCTGTGAGTCTGAGGCTAGCCTGGTCTATTGTGGCGAGTTCCAGGCCAGCCTGAACTACATAGTAAGACCCTGTCTCAAATTTAAAAAGAAAGAAAATAATAATAAACAAGAGTAGACAAATAGAACTTACGGTCTCTAAGATTTTCAAAATTACCTATAACACAAATACTGTTTAACCAATAGCATGAAGTAGATTCTGTATTTTAGTTAAGTAGTTAGTGCCCACACCATTACAAATGTCTGATAACTTACAACTCGTACTACAGTCCTTGTGCCATGTATATCTGAAACATAGATTTTATATGGCTTCTAATCATGCTAATAATACGTGAATCATTTAAAAGAAGACGAGTTTCATGAAAGTTTTTGTTGTGCTTTTCTAAAATAGAAAAGCTTTACAAGAAGATAGGGAAAATTAGTAGCTGAGATTCAGACATTTGGCCACCTGCTGGGTTCAAAGCCCCATACCAGGTCTGGAACCAAAACAGATAAAGACAGGGATCGTCCCAATCCTCGGGAGACTTAACCTCTGGTGGAAGAGGCTGACATATTGTAAGTACAATATATGTACTTCCCTGTATCAGAAGTCATGAAGTGTTCTTATGCCTTGGGAACATAGCAGTGAAAATTATGTATAGTTATGTATTTGATAAAAGAGGTAACATTTAACGTTGAACTTAAAAAAGTACCTTTAGATATATATATTCATATTCATAATATGACTAATAGAGTATGTGATCTATTAGCAAGAACAGAACAAGCCGAGTTGCCTGGAGTGGTTCACCCCAGCATTTCCTGAAATATGACCCATGAATTCCAGCATTAGGTACACTTAAGAGAAGCTGTATGATCTATGTGTATTCTAAATGTGGAACACAATACGTATCCTCCCTAACATGTGAGCTAAGAATGGCAGTATAGGTAAAGGGTTTGTAGAAGTAGAAAGGCAGCAGACAGACTGCCCTAAATGTGCCATTATCTCTTTGCTCCTGTTGAAGTGTTCAGCCGTAGTAATCCTCTCTGTTCCATTGTCATTTAACTTTAGCAATGTCACCTTGTAGAGTAGTAGCTTGTCATATTTCTGTATGTTGCTTCCTATTTACTTTCTTGTTTACTAATGCTCTTAGTAAGTAAAAAAATGCAGAGATGCATTTTATTTTAAAGTTCTTTTTCTTTAACATTTAACTCTGATTTTTCTAATTTTTCTTTTTTATTTTTCCATTAGAGTGACCTCAGTTCTGTGGTAATTTGATTTTTTATTATAAATTTATATACTTTTCTTACTTACCACTCTTTGACTCTGGCTAATTAATCTCTCCTTAACAAAACATAGTGGAAAAACAGTTAGTTATGAATACCACTTAGGTGACTTCAGAAAGACAATACAAAATTTGATTGTACTTTTGATATTATATATCTTATTCTGTGGGAACAAATAAAGATTAAATTGTCACATTGAAACAATTATATTTTCATTTGTAGTTTCCTTGGATGTTTTTTAAAAGAGGCATACAACCTTGTTTCTCTTATCCTTAGATTTCAATATTTTGCTGTGAAATACCCAATTATCTTTCATTCCTTATGTAGCATGTAGAGTTGAAATTATTTTGAGATGCATAGTGGTTTTGGTTCCACATTCAGGTTAGGTAAACATGGCCTTTTGATGAAAGAAAACAAAAGAAAAGCAAATCTCCCACCCTATCCCACCCTAGCTGAAATCATATTTTCAACTTCTGATTCACAATGTGCAGCACTTGCTTATCACATTACATGTGGAATCATGACATCAGCAGCCTTGTCACTAAATTCTTATCCTAATTTTTCAGATGTCAAATTACTTTTGATATGGCTTCTAAGCATGCTAATAATACGTGAATTGTTATTTGAATTAACTGTTCAAACTAACATGATTTTCCATTATGCTGCTTTTCTTTCATTGTATCTAAGCTGTTTCTCAATTTATGCAGAGAACTGTATCTTAAAAATTGAAATGTGGGCCTTTGGTTATTTTTAAGAGCAATGGATTTATGGGATATATTTACCTATTTTCTTAAGTGAAAAGCAATAGAACAATGCATTTAAGTGGAATATGGTTGAATAAATCTTGTGCTTCTCTTTTCATTCAAGCACATGTCCAAAGGCATCTGTTTTAGACAAGAATCTGTTTATAGACACATTAAATTTAACTCATTATATTTTACAACTGATTTCCATTTTCCTAACTTCAAGCTTAAAAAGCTCATTATTTCCCAATTTGGGGGCATACTTTATTTCTGTGTTCTATACCTGAAACTTTTGAAAAATACTTTCTTGAATACCCTTGGAATAAACAAAGGTTAATTAACCAAAGGAAAATAATAACCAATTGGCATAAAGTAAAAGATGTAGCAGAGAATTAAATATTCTTATAAATTATTTTAATTACCCAGTGAATGATATTAGTTTTAAATCTATCACAGAGGCCACAAAATACTTTTGTCTGACTGATCTAGAGGCTAAAAGATTATCAGGCATTTTTCACATATTCTTTTTTAGCCCAAAATATACATATAAAGTGAACCAAGAAGTGACTAAGACCACTTATCAATTGCTTTAATTTTAAAAGTTACATCCAGGGGCTGGAGATGGCTCAGTGGTTAAGAACACTGTTCTTGAAGAAGACCCGGGTTTGAATCCCAGCACCCACATGGCAGCTAACAACTGTCAGTAACTCCAGTTCCAGGGAATCCTGGAGGCATTGCATGCAGGCATTGCATGACATGGGTGCACTTACTTACATGCAGGCATAACACTCATACACATAAAAATAAAAAATAAAAAAGTTACATCCTAAAAGGGTATAAAAAGATTACTCATAATTAGTGGTCACTATCTAAACTTAAGTAACACCATGTCAACTGAAACTACATTCATTATGCTGGAATATTCGTATGAAGACCTAGTTAGCTTACCTTAGCATTGTATAGGCACACCTATCATATTAAAGTTCAGATTAACATTCTAACACCATAGCAGACTTGGCGGGGGCAGGGGTTGTTATTGAAATTTCAGTTAAATAAATGCTTTTAGATGCTACTACAAAATATTCTTGTTATCCCACATCCATTGTTTGACAAAGTATCAGTTGACTAACACTTCACTTTGCCCCTGTTAATTATGTTAGGATGAAGATTCTTTTCTTGCATTAATTATGATAACTCTGATTTGCAGGCATGAACTAATCACATTTGTGGTTAATATTTTTTCACATAAGATACTTCTGTTAAAGTGAATATTTTAAATATCATGACATTTTGGTGGATATTTTTTTCCCATATCCTCAGACTGATGAAGTATTTCTCGAAGCCCAGATTCAGAATATTACAACCTCACCCATGTTTATGGAGAAAGTTTCATTGGAGCCATCTATAATGTACAATGTAACAGAATTAAATTCAGTCAATGAAGCTGGAGAATGGTAAATATGAAATGTTTACTATTATTTTGAAAGACACAGACTCTTCTAATATCCATTAATCTAGTAGATTTTGATTTATTTAAAATAATTAATAGATTTCATTTTTTAGAGAAGTTTTAGGTTCACCCAAACTAAAAAGAAAGTAGTGGTCTCAGGGGCTGGAGCGATGGCTCAGTGGTTATGAATGCTCTTGCAGAAGACCCAGGCTTGAATCCCAGCATCCACATAGCAGCGAACAGTTGTCTATAGCTACAGTTCCAGGGGATCCAACCCTTCTTCTGGCCTCCATAGTTACTACACAACATGGGTGCACTTACACACATGCAGGCAAAACACTCATACATATAAAACAAATAAAAAGTTTTTAAAAAGGAAAAAAGAGAAAGAGATCTCACAAGCTCTCTTCCCTAGTCACAGTTTCTTCTGATTTTTGTTTTCTTCTGTGCTTTTTGTTTTAGAGACCAAGTCTCTCCAGTTGCAGACTGGGCTTAAGCTATTCAGCCTGGGCTCAAGCAGTTCTACCTCAGCTTCCCAAGTAGCTACATACCCCATTGTACCCAACTCTCCTGTCTTGTATTAATGCAATGCATTTTATGACTGATGGACCAGTATTGATACCTAGTACAGATTAAAGTCCATAGTTGAGAGTCAACTGAATGTTTTGTTCATGCTATAAGATTTGACAAATACAGAACGCCATATATCTGCCATGACATTACTAATGTACCTTTCTACATGCACATACCTTCCTCCACATAAAAATGAAGATCCTAGGCCTTTTCATTCTGTGTTTCACCGTTCAAAGCACTTGCTCTTTTAATTTTCATATATGAGCCAGGCAAATCTATAATTATCATTGTTAGCCTGTGAAAGATAAAACAGAAACATGAGAAGGAATGGTGGAGGAGATACTAGAAAATAAAGTTGGGATGAGTGTGAGTTTGAAAAGAAATTATCAGCTGGATGTGGTGGTGCATGCCTTTAATCCCAGCACTCGGGAGGCAGAGGCAGGTGGATCTCTGTGAGTTCAAGGCTACCATAGTCTACATAGTGAGTTCTAGGACATCTGGGGCTACAGAGAGACCCTGTCTCAAAAAGAAAAAGAAAAAAAGAAAAGAAATTATCTGAACATAAAAAAATGGACATAGTAGTAGATGATTTTTAATAATTTTGTGAAAAATATACATGTCTTTCTTTAGCTATTTTGGATGAGAAGAAACAAATGATATTAATATAGATGGAGAGGTAATAGCTAAGAAAAGTTCCTACTTTTCTTAATCAATGGTGAAAAGCCTGTACTATATAGCAGTTAAGTTCATGGCCTCCTTTAGTTTCACTGAGAATAATTTTCCATTCTTTCCAGAGCTTTCATTCAGTTTGAAAGTAATACTTAGATGTCTTAATGGTGATAGTGTAGCTCAGTGATAGAACACTTGCCTAGCATGTGCCATGCCTGGGTTCTGTCCCTAGCACCATAGAAAGAACCAGAATAGCACATGTTGCTCTTTTACGGTGATACTGGGGACTGACGCAGTGCCTTGCACATGCTAGGCAAATGCTCTACCACTAGCTCTACACTGCCTTCGTTCTTTTCTTACTTTTTATTTTGAGACAGGGTCTCAGTAAGTTACCCAAACTGGCCTTGAACTCACTGTCTGGCCTAGGCAGACACTGAACTTGGGATCCTCCTGCCTCAATCTCCTTCACAGCTCTGTACCACCAATTCCAATTAATGTAGATTTTTTGATAACTTTAGTAAAAAGGGGTAAGTTACTTAAAATTCTGGTTTCTACTGCAGTTTTCATTCCAACATTTTAAGCATTATTCTACAACAAAGACCCTCAAGATTGATCATGCCAATTGAAAAGAAAATAGAATGTTCTCAGTATAAGTACCTTTCCTTTGGGTTCAAACCTCTGATCCTCCTAGATCTTTAGGCAGTAAATCATCCAATTCTGGCCTACTTTGTTTTTCCATTGCTATGACAAAACACACTGACCACTACCAACTTGGGGAGGAAAGAGTTTATTTGTCTTACATTTCCCAGGTCATAGTTCATCAGGGAACCCAAGGTAGGAACTGGGGGCAGGAACCTGGAGGCAGGAGCTGGAGCACAGGCCATAGAGGATCACTGCTTACTGGCTTGCTCTCCTGGCCCCTGCTCAGCCTTCTTTCTTATACAACACAGGCCCACCTGCCCAGGGGTGGCACCGCCCACAGTAGGCTGAGCCCTCCCATATCACTGGACAATCAAGAAGGTGCCCCATGGACATGGCCACAGGCCAGTCCAATGAAGGCAATTCCCCAACTGAGGCTCCCTCAACCCAGGTGTGTCAAGTTGACACTAAAGCTATCCAGCACAAATTCCTATCCAAAAAAAAATAATCTCAACAGTAGCTTTTCTTTCAAAAAGATGCTAAGGGACTGGAGAGATGGCTCAGCAGTTAAGAGTACCAGCTGTTCTTGCAGAAGACCTGGGTTTGAATCCCAGGACCCACATGGTGGCTAACCATTCATAACGCCAGTTCCAGGGGATCCAACACCCTCTTCTGTCCTAAGTGGGCATTGCATGACACAGATGCACTTACATACATGCAGGCAATACACTCATACACATAAAATAAAAATAAAATTTTTTTAAACAATACTAAAATATTTCCTTTGTCTATGTCTACACCTGCTAGTGTATCTACATTTGGGTCAAGAGGATATTTGCAGCCAATGGATACACGCCAATACTTATACTGTCTAAAGCCCAAGAAGGAGTTTGCAGAAAAAGCAGGCATCATTAAAGGTGTAACAGTAATTGGAAAATTGGATATAGTATGGAAAACAAATCTCGGTGAAAGGGGAAGATTACAGACCAGCCAACTTCAAAGAATGGTAAGTCTAGCAAGAAGTTCATTGGGGACTTTGGTGTAATAACTGCCTGTCCCCAACACACCAAGCCTAGTGTTTCTGTAGTCCATCCATGCACTGTCTTATGAAAAAACATTTTCTTCACAGCCGCTTTTCAAAATGGTATCTGTCTGTCTCTTTAGACAGTAACCTTGCCCATTTAGAGTTATGTATATTGAAAACACAGTGTCTTTGGAAAATAATCCTTTGAGATCAGAATCCCTTGAGTCCTAACTCTTTACTTACCTAGAGGTAGGATTCATCTTAACTCTATTGAACCTGGAGCAGTTATAAGAAAAAACAATCCAGGTGTGCAGGGCCATTCCACCAGGAGTCATAGCCAAAGAGGGTAGAGTGAGGGGCTAATGGAGTGAACCAGCAATATTTTCTCAGAATATCAGCTTGGAGGCCAGGTATCAGTAAATGTGGTAAATCAGGTTCAGTAAATCAGGTTCAGTAAATGTGCTGGTATGGTACTTTCATTAAAATCAAAAGGTTTTTTTTTGGTAGTGGTTAAGCGCACTAACTACTCTTGTAGTCTTGACCTGGGTTCAATTCCCAGTGCCCACATGGCAGCTAACAATGGTCTGTAACTCCAGTTCCAGGGAAATTCAGTGTTCTCTGACCTCTGAGGGCATTGCATAACACAAGTGTACTTACATACATGCAGGCATTATACACATAAAATAAATAAAAATTAAATATGTATTTAAAAATGATTTTGTGATATATTTAACTGTCACCTTTTTTCCCCACAGGCCCCAGGTTACGGAGATGTTAGGCTATCCTTAGAGGCAATCCCAGATACTGTAAACCTAGAAGAACCTTTTCATATTACCTGTAAAATTACAAACTGCAGGTAATGCCAGTGTTTGTGAATGACTGTCCTTCCTCCTCACCTAAATTTGTAAATCTTTTAAATATTCTGTCTCTTTGTATATTGAAAGATTTATTTTCCTGTTTTGTTTTTCGCCTTTTTGAAACAGTGTCTCCCTACAGTCCCAGATGGTCTGGAACTCACTATGAGATCCACCTGCCTCCGCCTCCCAAATGCTGGGATTAAAGGCATGCACTACCACATCTGGCCTTATTTTCTTTTTTAAATATTTTAATTTTTATTTTATGTGTGTGAATGTTTTGCCTGCATATATATGTATAAGTGCACTTATGTTGGGCATTGCCTGTGGAGGCCAGAAGAGGGAGTTGGATCCCCTGGAACTGGAGTTACAAATGGTTGTTAGCCACCATTTGGGTGCTGGGAACTGAACCCTGGTCCTCTCTGTAAGAGTAGCCAGTGCTCTTAATCAATGAGACATCTCTCCAGTCTCATTTTTTATTCTTATTTCATTTATTAACCATTCCCTATATGGTGGACATTAATTATCCATATTTTACAGAAGAGAGCTAGAAAAGATGGGGCCAGAATTTGAGACTAGATGTATTTTATTTCAGTGTCCATGTTTTTTGGTTGGTTGGTTGGTTGGGTTTTTTTTTTTTTTTGTTTTTGGTTTTTTTTTTTTTTGGTCTTTTTGAAACAGGGTCTCCCTGTAGCCTCAGCTGGCCTGGAACTCACTATGTAGACCAGGCTGGCCTCAAACTCACAGAGATCTACCTGCCTCTGCCTCCCAGAGTGCTGAGATTAAAGATGTGTGCCACCACAGCCATCTCCATGTTCATTTTTATATTTTCTTCACATTTCAGATTACTAAAGAATGAACTAGCATGTTTTGGGAATAACACGGATTTAGAATAGTCAGGTACATTTCTCTGAGGCATACTTGTATCTGAGCTGTATCTTTAATAAGCTAAAACTTGGTTATAAATTTAAGATAAGAGATAATGAGAGGTGGGAAAATAGGGTTCTGATTTCTGTCTTTTGCTTATTTTTTTTTTTTTTTCGTTTGGTAATGTTCTTTGCGGTGGTCTTGTTATGTGCCTATGCTGGTCTTGAACTTGCAGTTCTCTTGCCTTAGCCTCATGAGTGCTGGAATTACAGACTAAAGCAGAGCTGTGTTAGTAAATAGAAGCAGTAAAGAACATAAGGCCTTGACACAGGAAAACCTAGGATTATATCCCAGCAAAATCACCTCTGCTAGTACTTGTATTATAATTTGGAACATAATATTAGTTTGGGTATTTTGATAGTATCGCAGTGGTAAATCTCAGCCCTTGTAGTATAAATGTATAATCATTTTAATTCCACATTCTCTCCAATTTCTTGGTATCAAGGAAATAGGAACTATCCATCCTTGAAACTTACAAAAATGCCTGGTTCTTCTATGAACTACATATTTAACCGTTCTGTTGCTTTGTTTGGAGACAGGGTCTCTAGCCCAGGCTGGCACTGAACGCCCTATGTAGTTGAAGGTGACCTTGAACTTCTGATCCTCCTACTCTTACTTCTTGGGTGCTGGGATTACAGATGTGTACCACATGCCTGGTTCATACAGTGCTAGGGATCAAACCCAGGGCCTCCTACATACTAAACAAACACTCTGCCAAAAGAGCTACATTCTCAACCCCTTAATCAGTCTTTTTCATAGCAAATTTTAATTTAGTTTTGTGGTAACATCCATATATTGCTATAGCTATTCACCTGCTTCTCATCAGATTGTGAATTATTCAGGAGAAGGGGCTGATGTTACATATGTTACATAGCATTGTACATACAGTGCTTGCCACATCATAAGAACTCTGAATAAGGCATTCAAGCAAAGATGCTGTGCAATAGGGTGTGTTCAGTGGATTTTCTTCTTAGAGGTGTATGTGTAAGTAAGTTTATTGATTAACTGAATGTACTGTAAAATTTTTTTAATTAAATTTTTGGTGTTCATTTTAATGCTTCAAATAGGTTTCCTAAATCCATGTAGAGCTTCATTTTTCTCATCTATAAAAATCTGATACACATACATGAGCATATAGAGAAGAATGTACACATAAAATTTAAAAAAAATCTTGTCAGGGGTCTAGAAATTTGACCAGTTGTTATAGTACTTACCTAGGATGATGCATGAGGCCCTAAGCTTGAACTCTAACACCACATAAAGCAGACATGGGGGCACATACTTGTAATCTCAGCATTTGAAGAGTAAGGGCAGGAAACAAAATGTTGAATGCTTGCCTGCCTCTGCCTCCAGAATGCCGAGATTAAGGATGTGTGCCACCACACCTGGCCATTCAAACTCACTATGTAGCTGAGGCTGCCCTTGCACTTCTGATCCTCCCACTTCTACCTCTGCAGTGGTACGTCGTTCCTTCATCCTAGCCTAAGTGAAACAATGATGTACTAGTTTTTTCAGTTCTCTCCATAGTTTTTATTCTCCTTGAACACCCAGAAAATAAATTTACTGAAAAAAAGTAGAAAAATATGATAGTATCTCCTTATGAAATGAACAAGATTTATTCCTGTTTTCTGTTTGCTTCAGCAGTGAAAGGACCATGGATCTGGTTTTGGAAATGTGCAATACCAATTCTATCCACTGGTGTGGAATTTCAGGAAGACAGCTGGGAAAGCTGCACCCAAGTTCCTCTCTCTGCCTTGCCCTTACTCTCCTGTCTTCAGTACAGGGATTACAAGTATGTCCTCTTCTAAGTAATTTCAACAGGATGGAGACTAATTTGCAGTCATTTATAATAGCCGTATTTTTCTCTGGTAATTACCAATGGATGGAAACTGAGGCCATTTCTTTCTCTCTCTCTAGAGCGTCTCCGGCTTAAGACTGACTGACACATTCTTAAAGAGAACATATGAATATGATGACATCGCACAAGTCTGTGTGGTCTCTTCAGCCATTAAAGTGGAAGCCTAAAGAAAGTTCCCAGTGCTAAGCTTCTTGTTTGGTCACAGAACTGCTTTCTGTATTTTTGTTACCTTTGAAATGATCAGTAACAAAAATAAGTCTGTTGTTTAAATTTGTTGCCTGTAAAACAGTTAAAATATTAAATGCTTGTTTAAAGCTACTGTTTTTCTTGTGAATTATACTCTAAATGAACATTTCTATATTTTCTACATCTATTTCATGTCATTTTAGATAACTATTAGATTTTATTTTCCACAAGCACTGTACTTGAGCCTATTTATATCTAACAAGTATATAAAACAGCAGTCAGCAACCTGTTTTGTAAAGGGTAAGACCTGGCTTTTCAGACAATTAATGAATCCTGCCATCCTAGCATCAAAGCAGCAGTTTCTGCAGTGATAAGCAGCTGGCTAGATCGAGCCTGTGGACGACAGTTTGCTCAATCTCCAAATACAGTTAGTTTTCAGGCCTTTATAATTTTTTTTTTTTTTTTTTTGAGACAGGGTCTCCCTGTAGCCCCAGCTGTCCTGGAACTCACTATGTAGACCAGGTTGGCCTTGAACTTACAGAGATCCGCCTGCTTTGCCTAACAGAAATCTACTTACCTAGTAATAGTGTTAACTACAGGTATTTTTTTCCCCCACTAGGTGCTCAATCCACAGAAAAGGTTTATTTGAAACAATCTTGAGTAATCCTCCTATAACCTGATTATTTCCTAACACAGTATGAACTTCTTTAGTTGTTTTTAAAATCATTGTATGGGGATATGTCAGACTGTGTATACAGACACACATCTAACAGATAGGAGCAGCAGATCAGAACTGATTTTGTTTCTAAGGCTGATGATGGCTCAATTAAATTTTAGCAGAGAAGGTCAATAATTTTCTAAACCTAAAAACTCCTGGAGTTCTTCCCACTGAAAAATGAAGGACTTATTTTCATAATACACATTAAACAATTCCCAGCTTCATATTTTATTTTGAACTCAATTTTTAAAGTTATGTTTATGTGTATGAGTGTTTTAAGTGTACCCATGCCATGCAATGCCCACGGAGGCCAGAGGAGGGCACTGGATCCACTGGAACTGGAGTTACAGACAGTTGTTAGCCACAATGTGAGTGCTGGGAACTGAACCTGAGTCCTCTGCATGAACAGCCTTTGCTCTTAACCACTGAGCCATCTCTCCAGCCTGATTCTGAACTTTTAATCATATTAATATAAAACATTCTTGTCTGCCAGGCATGGTGGCACACACCTGTATTTCCAGCACTTGGGAGGCAGTGACAGGCAGATCTCTGTGAGTTCAAGGTCAGCCTGGTCTACATGGTAAATTCTAAACCAGCCAGGCCTACATAGTGAGACCCTGTCTCAAAAACAAAAGAATTCCATGTACTCATACCCATTCATGTCAGAACAAAACAACAAAAAAGCTAAGATTGCTTTGCAACAGGAATATAACAAAATGTTTTACTATTTGTCAAGAAAGACAGCATCTGGGAAAACTAGATCTCCACATATAGAAGGATGAAATTAGACCCTTACCAATCACCTTGTACAAAAATAAACTCCAAATGGACCAAAGACCTCAATGTGAAACCTGAAACACTGAAACTGTTAGAAGAAAACATAGGCAGAACCCTACAAGATATAGACATGGGAATGCACTTTCTAAATCAGACTTCATTTGTTCAGGAAATAAGGTTAACAATTGACAAATGGGACCTCATTAAACTAAAAAGCCTCTATACAGCAAAGGAAGCAACCAGTCAACTGAAGAGGAAGTCCACAGAGTGGGAAAGAATATTTGCCAGTTATACATCTAATAGAGGGTTAATTTCCAAAATATATAAAGAACTCAAAAAACAATCAAGGAAACAGATGACCAATTAAAAAATAGACTACAGACATTAACAGAGTTCCCCAAAGAAGAAATAAAGATGGCTAATAAATACCTCTGACATATTCAATATCCTTAGCAATTAGGGAAAAGAAATCAAAACTATTTTAAGATTTCATCTTACCCTAGTCAGAATGGCTAAGATCAAGAAAACAAGTGACAACAAATACTGATGAAGATATAAGGGGAACACTCATTCACTGCTGGTGAGGTTGCAAACTGGTGCAGTCACTGGAAATCAGTGTGGAGAACTCTTAAAAACTAATAGATCTCCTATATGATCCAGTTACACCTCTCCTTAGCACGTACGCAAAGGACTCAGCATCCTACTATAGAGATATTTGGTCAGCCATGTTTGTTGCTGCACTTTTCACAATAGTTAGGAAATGGAAACAACCTAAATGTCTCTCAACCAATGAATAGATAATAAAAACAGGGTACATTTACACTGTGGAGTTTACTCAGTGTAAAGAAAAATGAAATGAAATTTGCAGG